AAAGATATGCCCAGAGTGTATACACGAAGTTCGCTACAACGATCGGCTCAACCTCATCGCAGTTGACACTCGAAACGGGCAAACTACGAAGACATTGCTCAACACCACTGTTCTCTGTGGGATTCAAGTTCGGCCATATGCTCCACCGTCCGGCCAAACTTCCATCGGAGTCATTCATGACGTCGACACAGAAGTCACGCAAGAAGAGCTGATCCAACACATTCGATCAGAAACAAAAATTGCCACTGTGCGCCGCCTCGGAGTCTCGAAGGTCGTCAAATAGTCTTCAGTGGCACGAGGCCGCCTAGCCACGTCCTACTTGGCTATGTTCGACAGCCCGTTGTTGCATTCAAGAACAGGCCACTGCAATGTCACAACTGCGGTGAATTCGGACACAAGAAGATTGCATGTAAACGCCCTAAGGCATGCAATCGGTGTGCAGAAGATCACGATGTGCAGTCTGCAGAGTGTCAGTCTACGACACTGAAGTGCAGCAACTGTGGTGGCAGTCACGAGGCCACATCGCGAACGTGCCCCAAATGGAAAGAAGAGCAAACCATGGTAACGCTCTCAAAGAATAACAATGTAGGATTTCGAGAGGCACGGTACGCCATCGTACATAAAAGTGCAGGCAAAAATACTGTGGACGTTCTGGAGACCACACCAAAGCCAATCACGGCAGCTACCACAAACCAGGCACTGCAGGCAACAAGCAGGACGGACATACCAAACAAAGTGTCTTATGACTCAATCCTCAAAGGGACAGTTAAAAACAAGAAGGCTGCCCCAAATACCGATTCCGCGGCCAGTCAAACGTCCGACAACAACAAATCTATGCATCAGCCACCACCCCACGCAGAAACGTTTCAAAGTTCCCACACGAAGAAGTCACCTCCAAGGAAGGACGAAACTGAAGACTCTCAAAACGTCGACAATGAAACATAGGGCTGGCAATCGATTGTCAGAGCAGCCGTCAACATTGCTTTCGCACTCTTAGCGAAAATCGATGCATCATGGGCTTGCACCATCTCAAACATCCTACAGACGGTCCTCCCACTTCTGGTAGGATGGTAGTGGGACCCTCGTCTCCAAATATAAGACACGATGCACAAGGAAATCACTCTCAACAGGACTCCGAAAACGCCTCAGCAACCTGGAACTTCACGAAGGGGGCGTGGTCCGATATTTCCCTCAATTTTACAGTGGAACGTAAACGGACTGCGGACACGCATGTCTGAACTACGCCGATTTCTTTCAAACAAGAAAGTCGACATCCTGGCTCTACAAGAAACTAACATTACATCCGGGGATGTTCGTCTCTCACCGTACGTATTGATTCACAGCGCTGCGGCGAACCCCAATGGCAGATCACGAGTCTCCCTATTTGTTTCTGCAAGCCTACACCATGCTTCACTGGACCTTTCTGACCTGTGTTCGCCGTCTGAAGAATATGCTGGAGTCACAGTCAGAATTGGCCGACAGGAAACGACGGTTGTGTCAGCATACATTACACCACAGGTAAGCTGGGACCCGACCGCCATCGAAGAAGTCTGCAAGAGAAGCCGAAGCAATATTATTATCTGTGGGGACTTTAATGCGCATAACCAGCAATGGGGAGGCTCTCGAACGGACACCAGAGGACGAAAGATCGAAGCAATGGCCAGAGCGCTTAATCTCCGTATCATAAATAACGGTTCAGCAACGTTATGCATGCCAGGAACTACAACAAGCACTATTGATGTAACGCTCGTTTCGCCTGGTATTGATGCCATACGGACCACCGAGCCTGACACAGCAGGTAGTGACCATTTTCCTATAAACGTGGTTCACCCCAGTGCTTCTCCGAGAGAACTTAAGACATGCAAAGTGATAAACTGGGATCTATTTCGTCAACACTTCGCATCCGCCATGGAAAATAATACCCATCCGAATATCTCGGTTTGCATTGCAGAGTGCCTAAAACAATCTTCACGCACCGTTACGATCCCTGTCACCAGCCCTACACCTGACCTGGAGTGGCTTAACCTGCGAGCTGCCAGACGTCAAGCGCAACGAAGAGCACTTCACACTGATGCCCCCTGGGACTGGTCACGGTACAATCGCATAGGTGCCTCTTTCAGATGACACACCAAAAAACTTCAGAGATGGCAGTGGAGGGGAAACTGTGCTGCACTCGGCGGTCCCGGTGGAGTACGACGGGCGTGGCGCCTCGTTAGAGCCCTCAAAGGAGCGAAAATTCCGCGACACCCTGTAGCAGAAGTTGCCATAAAAACTGGTAGGACCATGGCGGAAGTGGCAGAGCTTCTGGCAGACGAGTTCGCCCAATCATCAGCTCAACCTGAGCAATACCTCCAAGACTTGCTGAAACTGGACCCATCGATCGCTCAACCCCAAGACAGGGAGTCAGAACTAGCAAGCAACACTGATCTAACGACAGCGGAACTCACATATATGCTTCATTTCTCCCACAGAAAAAGTGCCCCAGGACCGGATGGGATAACGTACCAGTCACTTAGAAATATCGATGCTACATACCATCCGGCTCTTCTGGAACAACTCAACACAATCTGGCGAACTGGGACCATTCCACAAGCATGGAAAGAATCGACGATCATTCCTCTGCCAAAACATGGGAAGCCACCGGAGCTTGTCTCGTCATAGAGGCCTATATCGCTGACAAGCTGTCTGGGGAAATTACTTGAGCGCATTGTCATGCGGCGACTTACCTGGGTTTTGGACCATAAAAATGTTTTTCCATACCAAATGGCAGGCTTCAGGACACGCAGGTGCACCGCCGATGCGATTGGAGATTTTGTTTCAACCTTTGAAGAAGCAAAAACTGCCAGACAAATGGTTCATTGTGTGTTTCTAGACATCAGTCGAGCATTCGACACGCTTCCTTATGCCATCATCATTCAGAGGCTAAAGTGCTTTGGGATACATGGCAGGTTGCTGTCTTTTATTCAAGCCTTTTTGACTGGTCGAAGCTATAGAGTGAAAGTGCCGGGCGCAACAAGCACTCCCCGTCTAACAACCCAAGGAGTCCCTAAAGGGAGCGTGCTCAGCCCCTTTGCTTTTTAATGTTGCAATGGCCTCTCTACCTCACTGTCTCCCAGCCATACATCATATTTGTACAGATGGTATGGCAATATACGCGGATGACGTCGCAATATGGTGTGCTGGACTCTCGAAGAACGCTATGGCAATCCGAAACCGGCTTCAAGTTGCTTTGGATGCAACAGTACTAGCTATCTCACATCTAGGTCTTACTCTATCATCTGAAAAGACAGCCTCAATTTTTTATAGACCAACAGGCCGTGCTTCAGAACAAGCACTGAGACGGACAATCGGAGGAACTCTGGTAAAAAGGGTTACAAACCACACCTATTTGGGCATGATTATAGATGACCGTGTGACCTGGAGGCCAGAAGTTCATAGAACTCTACAGCGATGCCGTGAGCTTCTACGTGTTCTCCGATACCTTGGAGGTGCTTCATGGGGAGCACCACAACGATCAATGCTACAGTTGTACAAAGGCCTTATAATGTCCAAGCTTTTATACTCCCTGCCACTTCTAAGAATAGGGCCGGCCCAAATGCGTGACATTGACATATTTCACCGTATAGCACTGCGTGTCTGCTTGGGGCTCCCACCATCTGCCGAAAATCTGGCGACTCTGACAGCAGCAGAAAAATGGCCACTTTCTTTGAGACTCAAGGAAAGAGCTATGCGGCATATTGCACGAATCAACAGCGTCCCCACAAAAGATAACATTCTTACCCGCCTTCTAGCACGACCAAACTCTCAGCTGGGACAACTAGCATCTCTATTTCAACATGGGATTGGTGGTCCTGCAAAATACTTGAGTTCCACACCTCCGCACTCAACCCGCTTACCCCTAGTCATACATGAGACGCTACCAATCGGCCAGCGTAAAGCTAACGTCCCTGTGTTGGCCGCGCGGTCGATTGCCCTAGACTGCCTGAATGAAGCGCATGAAAGCTGGATTCAGGTATATACCGATGCGTCAGTAGACAGGACGAAAAAATCGGTGACGGTCGCGGTCACCATTCCGGAAATGGGTTACGACGTCTCAGGCAGAATTGACTTCGAGACCACATCCACGACTGCAGAATTAGTTGCCATTTGGGCGGCCCTCGAATCAATAAAAAATGTCTCACCTCCAGCGAAAGCTGTAATTCTCACCGACTCCAGGGGAGCCCTTCAGCAGCTTCAACGACATGTACAAATCACTCCATTATTGGCAAGGGTAGCATTCATGGCGGCAAACATTGAAGACCTTGGCTGGAAGTTGGCCTTTCAGTGGATACCTTCTCATGTTGGAATCCTCGGCAACGAGAGAGCAGACGCACTTGCAGCTAGGGCACATGACGACCCGTCTCCAACATTTCTTTTTGTTGTAAATCATCTTGATATGCTATCTCCCGCCGCCTGAGCCAGGCGTGTGACGTATCAACAACAGCAGCGTTATGTCTTTCCTCGCCCTTTCTCCCTTCCCAACTCCCTCTCTCTTGCTTGCGTTAAATACTCTGTTCACGGACGAATAAACGTTCTTTTCCAGTCCCCCAGCGCTGGTCTCGTCAGTCGTCCACGCACCGTATGTGCGCTTGCTACGCAGCAGTGGCGACGAGCAAGACAGGAACCCATGCACTAAAAGAAGATCACGGCGAGCAGAGCCACGGTACGGCCTTTCAAGAACCTGCAGCAATGACAACGCCAGCCTTGGCTCACCACCATCTTCCCGAGTATGACGGCGAAAGGGACAACTGGAGAGCGTACGTCATCAAGGCAGAAGCTTATTTCGAGGCAACGGGAGTTACCGACACAGCGAGAAAAAGGGCGTTGCTCGTAGCAGCGTTAAACACAAAGACTGTGCAGATCCTAGCGGGACGAGTCGCTCCGAAGAAACCCAACAGTCTGACCTACGAAGAAGTAGTTGCAACACTGAATGAATATTTCGACCCAAAGCGCCTCGAGATCACCGAAAGCTTCCGGTTCTTCAATCGATGTCAGCACGAAGGTGAGCCTTTACAACATTTCCTTGTCGACATCCGACGCATTGCAGACAACTGCAATTTCGGCAGCATGCTGGAACGAATGCTCCGCGACCGTATAGTCTGTGGCGTCAGATCAAAGGCCTTGCAAAAACAGCTTTTGGCAAAAGCAAACTTGACTTTGGAAGAGGCCGAAGCGATAGCACTATCAGCCGAAACGGCAGATGACGACGCAAATAAGATATCGGGCGATACAACCACCGTACTGAAGGTTGACGCGCAGCGCGTGTTGACGAACGAGCCGACTCTAAAATGCGGGCGTTGCGGAAGTAAGAAGCACAACAGCCACGCATGCCGCTGGGCCAAGAGCAGGTGCTATCACTGTGGTAGGCCGGGTCATCTTGCGAAAATGTGCTCGAGCGACGCTCTGAGGAAACGCGAAACGGCGTCGACACAAGGCATGCGGGGACGAGCACTGGCGATGGCGGAAGACTGTGCGGAGGGGAACGTAGACGAAGCGATGCACCTCTGGGCTTTGACTTCTTCTCGGAAGTGGCAATTAGAGCCCCCAATTCACAGGACATTCACGTGGTGCGGTGTCGACATGCCAATGCTGATAGACACGGGGTCGCCCGTCTGTGTTGTGCCCCGCGAAATTTATGAAAAGAACTGGGAGAGATGGCCGCCATTGCAACCTTCAGGTGTCAAGCTGTCCTTTTATCTTGGCAAGCTCCCCGTCCTAGGACAATTGGACATGAAGGTAGCCTACAAGGGTGCCGTAGTAGAGTGCCCCCTAATTGTATTGAATTGCCCCGGTCCTAGTCTATGCGGGCGGGATCTACTGTTTCAGCTGAGCAACGCAGGGTCACCTATTCTTCACATGACTGCGGAAGCCGGATCGCCAACGAGTCTCCCGGCCGCGGACGACATCGCCAACGAGTTTCAAGGCGTCTTCAGTGCGGAACTCGGCTGCATCAGCGGTCCCCCTGTACACCTTCAACTCAAGGAGGGAGCTACACCAAAGTTCTGTAAGGCACGATCCATCCCTTTTGCTCTCCGTGATAAGGCTTCTCAAGAACTAGACAGACTGGTAGCAATTGGCGTGTTATCACCGGTTGCGCATGCGGAGTGGGCTACGCCCATTGTGCCTGTCTTAAAGAAAGATGGAACAGTTCGGATTTGCGTCGATTTCAAGATCACGTTAAATCCTGTATGCGAACTGGAGCAGTACCCATTGCCGGTGATTGACGACATGTTTGCGTGCCTAAACGGGGGAGAGTACTTCAGTACTCTCGATCTTCGTGACGCGTATAACCAAGTACCGCTTGACGAAGAATCACAGAAGTTATGCGTAATCAACACGCATCGAGGGCTATTTTGCTTCAAGAGGCTGCCTTTTGGCATAGCGTCTGCCCCAGCCATCTTTCAACGTAAAATCGAAACAGTCCTGCAGGGACTACCAGGCGTGCAAGCTTTCCTCGATGATGTGCTGGTTGCGGAGTGACAAGGAAGTAACGATACTCTGCGAGCGGTACTGCAGCGTTTCCGCGAGCACGGTGTAAAACTCCGGCGAGACAAATGCAAATTTAGTCAGCCTTCAGTCACGTATTTAGGGCACCAAATCGACAAAGACGGCCTACATCCCACTGAGAAACATGTGGAAGCAATCGCCCAGGCTCCTAACCCGACAAATGTGCAGGAACTTCGCTCGTTTTTGGGCATGCTGTCGTATTACTCTAAGTTCCTGCCGAATATGTCATCCGTGCTTGCACCTTTGTACCAGTTGCTGGGGAAAAATGCGCGTTGGGTCTGGAGAGAAGCTCAGCAGGCCGCCTTTGCCAACGCAAAGCAGTGCTTACTTGCGGCAGGGGTACTCGTTCACTACGACCCCGCGAAACCATTGAAACTGGAGTGTGATGCTTCTCCGCATGGCATCGGTGCAGTGCTGTTTCATACGGTCGGAAAAGTAAACCGGCCCATTGGCTTCCGGTCGCGAACGCTGACCAGTGCCGAGCGGAATTACTCTCAGCTAGAACGTGAGGCCTTGGCTCTGGTTTTTGGGGTGTCGAAATTTCGCGACTATCTCTTAAACAGAGATTTCACCTTGGTCACAGATCATCAGCCGCTCCTGGGCCTGCTGAAAGCGGACAAGCCTACACCGGCGTTGGCCGCAGCCCGAATACAGCGCTGGGCTCTCTACCTCGGTGGATTTCGCTACAAACTTCAGTATTCGCCCGGTAAGCTGCTACTAAACGCCGACCCACTCAGCCGGCTACCGCTGCACACTCCAGAACCACCAGCAAGGAGCGAACCCCCCGAGTATGTTCACGCGCTGGCAAGTTTCGATGATGGCACTGTGTCTGTCGAGGAACTCAAACAGCTAACGGCGCAGGACGTGTTACTAACGAAGGTTGTGGAGTATACGAAGCACGGCTGGCCTACACATGTAAAGGACGGGGGATTGGCGCCATTCTCGGAACGCCGGTTGGAACTATCTGTGGCTCACGGGTTGGTATACTGGGGTCATCGAGTTGTTGTTCCCAGACAAGCACGAGAACGGGTACTACACATGTTGCATGAAACGCATCAAGGGTCCTTGGCCATGAAGGCGGTTGCCAGATCGACATTCTGGTGGCCGGGACTAGACCGAGAGATAGAACACCTCTCAGCGTCGTGCCACAATTGCGTTCAAAACCTTCCTATGCCGGCCTCTGCTCAACCCATCAGTTGGCCAGCCGTTAAGGAAAAATGGTCGAGGCTCCACGCCGATTTCGCCGGGCCGGTCGCAGGCAGCATGATACTGGTAGTCGTGGATGCTGCCACTAAGTGGATTGAAGCCGTGCCCATGAGGCAGGCAAGCACGTCATCTACGATTGCCAGCTTGCGCAGCATTTTTGCCAGATTCGGTGTTCCACTCACAATAGTTACGGACGACGGCACGCAGTTCACTAGCGAAGAATTCGCCATCTTTGTTAAGAACAATAACATCGCACACCTACGTACGGCTGTGTATCACCCACAGTCTAACGGACTTGCTGAACGAGCTGTTCGTACGATTAAGGAAGCGCTAAAGAAGATGAGCGAAGGCACACTTGAAGAGAAGCTAGTCAAAGTTCTTTCCAACTACAGGAGAACGCCGTGCCACGAGGGAAAATCCCCTTCCGAACTTCTATTCGGCTACTTGATCCGCTCGCGCTTGGACTCGTGTTTCCCACCTTTCCCAGGGTCAACCCAGGAGACGGAAGAGTGGACACTGCTGCCCGACACAGCCGTGTACGCCCGTAACTACGGCCAGGGGGAGAAATGGACACCAGGGAAAGTGCAGTCCACTACAGGGTCACGCATGGTCACCATACAAACGCCTACTGGGGTGGTTCGACGTCACATAGACCAAGTGCGTTCCAGGCCGAGCCCGGCATCCGCTCGGAGCGGCGTTCGAGACTAAGACGAGGGGAGCCCTTCGGCTGCAGCTGCGCCCGCACCGACCGACAACGAAGGCGATTTGAACGAGCAGCCTACAGACCAGGTGGCGCCGGCACAAGCGTCGCCGCCTATCCAGAAGGCGCAGAAACCCCCTCAAGCTTTGCGACGATCTACTCGGGAAAGGAAGCCTGTACAGCGTCTTCAATACTAAGGGAGGAGAAATGTTGTAAATCATCTTGATATGCTATCTCCCGCCGCCTGAGCCAGGCGTGTGACGTATCAACAACAGCAGCGTTATGTCTTTCCTCGCCCTTTCTCCCTTCCCAACTCCCTCTCTCTTGCTTGCGTTAAATACTCTGTTCACGGACGAATAAACATTCTTTTCCAGTCCCCCAGCGCTGGTCTCGTCAGTCGTCCACGCACCGTATGTGCGCTAGCTACGCAGCACTTTTGGATCGTTTTAACGAGGCTCACCGGTTAATCCGGATATCCCTCAGACAACAACATCCACACCGAGGAGTGGCGACCGGAAGACCTCCCGCTGCTATTCCACGTTGACTCCCACGTGCCGGGGCATCCTTGCTGCACAGGCTTCGAGCTGGATGTGCGTATACTTCCAAACGCCTTCACATGTACGACCGCAAGTCAGACCCGTACTGTCCATCTTGCGGTGACCCTGAAGACACAGCGCGCGCTCTTCTTCTATGCCCAAGCCACGACCAGCATCGGAAGCTTCTGATTCAGCGGTATGCGACGGCCGGCCTCTCCCACTCCAATCTTGAAGACCTTCTAAATCCAAACGGGACTCAAGGAGTAGCCGAGAAGGCCTTTCGTTGTCTCCTGGCTTATCTGCGCGAAAGTGGACTTGCAAGCCGGCTCTAGCGTAATTACGCACTAGTCAATTGTGCCACATCTGCTTCCTCCACAAAGTATGGATGCCCGTTTAAACGGGGCTATTCAGAGTCACGCTACTCGCCTGTCAGCTAACGATTCAACGCCTCGTTCAAACGCCTCAATCATTCTTTCTTTTCTTTTTCTTTCTCTCTCTCTCTCTCTTTCCTCTCTATTTCTCCCATTCCCCAAAAGCTAGGTAGCGACTTGCCCCTGTACCTGGAGGCCCACATTTCTCCTAGCTCCCCCCCCCCTCCCGACACCCCACAATAAACAAACAAACAAACAAACGGTGGCCATCTGTATTTTATATTAAGAAACTGCAATTTGCCGTAACTGAATGGGAAAAGTTTGAGGTCTAATAACATTCTTAACCTGCAATATATCAGTACGGAAGTTCTGGAAAATGTAATATCGAAGGATGCTTCATAATTTAATGTCTCGTAATTTTGATTAGTTGTCATGATTCCGCTTTTATAGACCAATCCATTTAGCGCTGTCTGGGCGGCACCATTTTGTTCGACAGGAGCGCCCTCTCCATACATCCGGGAAATTCAGCGGGTTCGGCGGGGTAAAACGAAAGAGAGGGCACGTGCCCGACTCCGCTAGCAGATGACAAAACGGGAGGTTGCCATTCTCCATCGTTGGGCTGTATCGGCGGGCTGTACGGAACATCGAACACTCGCTCGTGGCTGCCGTTGTGAAGTGGTTCGCGTTCTTAGAATAGTTATGGCTACTCCAAAATCAGCCTAGAGCTCTCTGTTGTTCTACTTCGGTAAATGATCAACTGACATATCTTTTTTCCGTTACTTAAATAGCAGTTGAGTCAGCCGGCAGTACTACCCTCAACTACTGCGTGTATCGCGGCAGGAGAGCACGTTTTTATTTATTATTTCAGACATCCACTCATGGTCGCTAAAGGCCTACACTAATACGAACTTTGTATAGTAAAAAAAGCTACAGCCACCGGATTCACTTTTCGCCGGAGAGACCGGCCAGTCTGACACAGTTTTCCCTTTTTTTTTATTTGCACGCAGATAACAGCGCAATTGGACTCGGTTAGTCTTTTGTATCTAGCATAGTAATACACGATAACTGGCATACCAAAATCTGCGCATCTGCGCTTGAAATTCCCAAATGACGCGATTTTAAACAGAGTTTGTACGCCAGCCGGATGCTAGGTACTGCCCACTCGGCGGAGCAGACGACATTCGGGCGAGAGGGGGGGAGGGCATTTTTTTTCTCTTTTTACCGTCTCTGCTATGACCCTAATGCTGACAGTTCGCTGTCATGCATTGCGCATTGTTTCGTACAGTCACCTCAGTCATGGATTTCTTATTTTTGTGCTTATTAGTTAGCAAATGATGCTTAAAAGGTAACTGCAAAGAAAAAAAAAAGTTTTTTTTAAACAGTTTATTTAGGACAAGCATGTCACAAAACAAATCTTCTGCGAAAAAAACAAATTTTTTCTTGGAATATTTACGCCGCAGGACGTAATTTAGTCGGAGTCACAACTTTTGCACATTTGAAACTCCTGCTCTTTCGACGCGCGCGGAATGGCTGCTATACGTCACTCCGTGACGTATAGCAGTATGCTTGCAGCCTCGCAGCACATATCGTCAAACGCGGCCCGTAAGCCACGTGACACCCAACGAGCAGTAGGACACCCGCCTCCATACTACAGGCTCTCTACTACCTATTTTTAGTCTTTCCCGGCGAATGGAACGGCCTAAGCAGAGCCCTGCGCGCCAAACATCAGAGGCCATGGTCGTTTAGACGGAAAGTGTTTCTTCTGCCAGAATATGGCGACATTGTTACTCAGTGTAGATGAGGCATTTAGTCAGTGCAGTACGACTCTTAGCCTGGGATCTTGAACGCGCATCGCGTTGCAGTGATACGCGAACCCACGCCGGAACGATGCTCGACCAGATGAAACCGGGTCGGGATGAGGATAGACCACCGTGGGATAGACCGATCTCACTGATCGTTCGGCGCATGCGTTACGCCACCATAACTTTAGTTCACGGGATGCAGACAGCCGTGAATGCGAGGGCTCGTGCCGTCTCGTGCTCCACAAGTGCAGAGCTCCAGCAAGGTTATCGCACGTGCAGAAAGACTAAAGTTCCCCTGATGCATTGCGGTAGCGGTGGCGTAGTCAAACTGGCTGGTGAGATCGGTATATTGAAACCAGGATTTCTGGGTTCTGCAGCGCGAGCTTTCGCTCCACGAGCTGAAGCTTGGGGTACGAGGCGAGACACCGTGGCGCCGGGAAAGTATTGGAAAAAATCGAAGAAGACAGTCACGAGCGCGGAATCTGCTTTTGTTTTTGCTCTGGAGTTCTTAAAATATCGTGTTTCTGTCTTTGCGTTAACTGTAGGACCAGGTGGCCCCGTTTTGCGACTACGAATAATACGAAGAGCGAGCATTTGTGCGACCATCCCGCCGGCGGCTGCGTCCTTCTTCCGGCCGCCTCTAGCTTCGAGAGGATCATGGCAGATCGGTGAGTTCGCGCTCGTAGTGTTTCGAACGCCTACTTCGTGTTCCATGTGTCGTGTAGCGAAAAACCCAAGCGCGATATCGAGTGCCCAGTGTCATCGAGTGACTTTCTTTCTGTAGTGAAGCATATGGAGCACTTCTCAAAGTGGGCTTCGACCCTGCACGCACAGCTAAAGCACGACCGAAGGCAACTAGCTTGTGTTGGAGGCACCTGAAAGATACAGCCCTGCGCTTGATCTTCTGTCAGTGATTCCCTTTAAGAAATTTGGAGCTTCTTTAAAACTCTGAATTTCCTGCAATGTAGCGGAACAGCCAATACCACGAAATAACCTCATATAGATTTTGGAGAAATGAAATATTGGTTATGGAAGATATTTAGGCCAACGTCGGTTTAGGCGTTATAGACTTGTTCAAGAAAAGCCGCTAAGGTTAGACTGATTCGGTTTGTGCAGGTGAGTTATACGGCCAAGGGGACACCTAATAGGGAGCTAACGATAGGTCGGCTAATAAACTAAAATCTGTTCATTAACTTATTTATTTCTGCTGCCCGATTGACTCCATTGGATTGAACATCTATCTGAAAAAATGTAGACCGCGCGACGTTTTCAGTGCGAATGCAACTTCGCTACTTCTTTGCCTTTTACTTGGAAAGGCTAGCAACCTGTGTCGAAAATTACCACTTGCGTTAATACCCCAACTAAGCTGAACTGCCACTATACTTTCCTCGCACGTACGTCACACGATTACGTCGTCAAACCTGTGTTTAAACAATTAGCGCCGATCACGAGATGCCGCAGTTATCGGGACTTAAACTCGTTCGGAGGCGAGCACGATCGTACGGCATCTCCGACCCAGGGGTCACACCACGGGTTCTGTCTGTTTTTTTCATAATCCACCTTCAGCGACTGGGCAACCAGGGCCCGCGCGAGTTTGTTTTCGCGTACACAACGTGTATTACCTAGCTTTTTCGAACAAGCGAAGACTCGTCTACCGTCCCTTTTGCCCGAGTCCCTCTAGAGTGACAAACAGAAAAAAACGACAGCTACAAGCCTGAAACCAGGGTCTTTCGCGATTTGACAGGCTTGGTAGAATAAGGGAGGCTATGCTCAAATACGAGCATCATGCACGCGAGAGTATCTTTGACAGGTTTGCAATCACTCGTGCTTACTTCACGAGCACCGAGCGACTGAACGCCTGCCAAAGGTACCATCGCGGGCATGCTGTATGTGTTTGAGGCTTGTTGTTGTCCTTTGTTTCTGTTTGTCGCTCTAGTGGAACTCGAGTTACTGGCTGCTTGAACTTTGGCGATCCATTCGTCTCTCAACTGCCGGGCATTCGAAAAGCTATGAAACCCGACATTGTTGTTTCTAGTGTTGCTGTTGCTGCAGACAGGGACGAAACACGTGAAAACCGTCATAACGGCGGAGCGAAATAATTTTTTTTTGACGGAACAACAGTGCCAACGCCTTACGCGCAAGGCTGTTTGTCAGCCAGATCTTCACTGCATCTCCGCCCGGGACCGCACCAGCCCAATGCACAGAGACTAAGCTGTCACAATGCATCGTGGCAGCGGTGGCGTAGATAAACTGGCTGGTGAGATCGGTCTATTGCTACGTATCCCGACGATCGTTTCGT